GGTAATTTTTTTTTTTTTTTTTCTGGTTTGAGTGTTCGGGCACGTAGGTACACGTGCCCGAGGCCCAACGCACGAATTTCGTTTTTAGGAATTCGACGCCACTCCCCCATTTTTGCGTTTAACGCGATTTAAAGGGGGTCCTGGGACCCGTTAAACGGGTGTTCGGGCGTTCAATTCCGCCCGTTGTCCGTTAAAATGATACAAAGTCAATCGTCATAACGAGCAGGACGATGACGAGTGCGTTGTGGACGCTCATAAGCATCCGGCTGCTGCTGAAGGTCTGCCTCAGATGGAGAAGACTCGACTTCAGCGGTCTCCTCAACCGAAGGAGGAGGAGGGTCAGTGGGCTGAGGAGGAGCAATCAACCAAGCACGACGAGCACGGTGATAGACACACATCAACATGCGAGCGTGCTGCAAGTGCTCGAGGGCTCCCAAGTAGCTTCCTCATCAGGGTAACCCTTCCAGCGTACACGATACTCGACATGGGGAGGGTTGTCGTCAGTGACTCAGCGACCAATGATGTCTGAAACAAGGAACTCCTCATGGCCATCCACCATAATGAGTGGCGGACGCTCGTATGGTCATCCAGCGAAACGCTCTTACGGTCTACTGTAGGGACGCAGTAACGAGACGTGGTAGACATCGTGCATACGAGCCTAGCGTAAGTAGTCGGGCAACTTCACACGGAAGCTGACCGGGCTAGAAGCCGTATCAGAACGAACGGTCTGGAGAATGCGGCGTGGGCCAAAGAAGCGACGGCGAAATTTACGAAGCGTGTCGGCTTCGAGCTGTAAGTGGCGGGTGTTGATAAGCACATCATCACCGACTTTGAATGGGTGATTCATCCGCGATCGGTTCACACGTGTGGCCATGCGAGTCTGGAAAGCGGTTATGTGCTCATGCGTGGTCTTCATGATCGACGTCATGTGTGCAACCCAATCATCCAATGCGGGATAACTCATGTCGGGGTGCATCTGTGACGGTCGAAGGAAGTCCATGGGAACACGTGGGTGATAACCGAGGTCACAATAGTAAGGCGACATTTCCGTGGCTGGCGAGACGGTGTGGTTGTAGGATATCTTCGCTGCGGCAAGATGAAGATCCCACTGCTGGTCATCACGAACAATCTTTCGGATAATATCTCTGAAAGTCTTGTTCGTGATCACGGTCCGACCATCAGTCTAGGGATGGTACGACGAGGAGAAGCAGAGTTGGGTGTCGTAATCCTCCTGGAGGTTGGAGCCATCCCTAGAATCGGTTGGTAAAGCGCGAGTCATGGTCAGATATGATGCTCAGAGGTAAGCCGTGGTCACGCACGGCTCGGTCAAACACAATGTTGGCGACCTCACGTGCACTGATGGCATGGCAGCATGGAACAAAGTGTACACGCTTCGTGAAGCGGTCGACGATGACCAGGATAGCATCATGACCACGGGGGGTCGGAGGACGAAGAGGACCGATAAAGTCCATCGAGATGGACTGCCAACGACCCTCAGGGATAGGAAGGGGCTGGAGCAAACCCTAAGGCAGGTGGTTCACACTGTTCACCTCCTGACAGGTGGGACACTCTGCGACGTAGTCCTTCACAAAGTCCTTGCACTTTTGCCAGACGTACAGGCGGCTCACAGGAGCCAATGTCTTGTGGAAGCCCATATGACCGGTGGTTGCCTGGTCATGGAACTCTGCTACTGCCCGGACACGTAGCTGTCTAGTGGACGGAAAGCAAATACGGGCCTCTCTGGTGCCTTGTGAACCGTGCCAGTGCACAAGACCGTTGTCCCCGAGAGAGTAGTTCGGGACGGTCTTGCCACTCCGAAGGGTCGTATGGATGTCACGATAGTCGGGGCAGTGGCGGTACTGAGTGTGAAACGCGTCGATCACCGAATGGTGGACAGTGGTGACCGAGATGGAAGCAAGCTGGATCTGCTCCTGATCGTGGTCGGGGTGCCGCGATAAGGCATCTGCGCCCCGATTAGTCTCACCCTTGATGTGCTCAGTGGTGAAACTAAACCCGGATAGGTCGCGCCACCAGCGAGCCTGTCGAGGAGTGAGTTTCGGCTTTGTCAAAAAAGCCTGGACAACAGAGTTGTCCGTGTACACTGTGAATGGTGCCCTGTGCAGGTAGTGGCGCCGGTGCCGAGCGGCATAAACTACTACGAGAACCTCACGTTCATCAGCAGTGTAGTTTATATCGGCGGGCAAGAGCTAACGGGAGTAGAAGGCTATCGGACAATCACCTGAGCGAGACTCGACAGTGTCGTCCTCGACGATRGTAGGTGAATAGTCAATAGAAGGCTCGTCAGTAGCTGGACGAGTAGGTGTCAGGCGGGATGCAGTGGTAGAGGTAGGGGGTGAGAGACGAGGGATACGAGGACGAGAGGAATCGGGAGAGGAGGGGAAAATTTGAAAGAGCACTTCTCCTACAGCAAAGTCTGATGCATCGGTGGTAAGGATAAAAATGCGATAAAAATCGGATAGGTCAAGAACCGGTGCACATGTCACCGCCTTCTCAAGGGAGCGGAAGGCGTCCTCGTGGAGGGGTGTCCAAGCCCATGGCGGGTTCTTCCAGAGGAGGGTGGAGGTAAGGGCGTAAAAATATCCCAGGATGAAATTACTATAGCAGCAAGTGAGGCCTAGGAAGCTGCGAAGCTGCTTGGCGGATGTGGGGACGACAACTCCGCAATAGCAATGATCTTCGCGCTGTCTTGGTGGAAACCCTGGTCAGACACGTAGTGTCCTAGCGGCACTTGCTCAGATTGGCATAGAAGCGATGTCTGCTCAAGCGGTCAAGGACATTGAGAAGGTGTATGAGATGCTCCTCAAGGGTACGACTGTAGATCAGGATATCGTCGAGGTAGACGAGAACGTACTGCTCTAGGATGTCCCTGAAGATGTAGTTCATCGCCCTCTGGATGGTAGCGGGTGCGTTGCCGAGGCCGAATGGCATTACCATAAACTCGTAGCGGCCGAAGCGCGATTGGAACACTGTCTTCGGCTGGTCTGCTGTAGCGACGGGGATCTGATAGTAACCGCTACGAAGATCGATCTTCGTAAAGAAGCGGTTACCTGCTAGGCGGTCGAACAGCTCATCAGAACGAGGCATGGGGTAGTTGTTCTTAACCATGTAGCGGTTGAGACTGTGATAGTCAATGCAGAGACGGGGAGTTTCACCCACTTTGCGAGCAAAGAGGACGGGTGCACCCCACGGGGAGTTGCTGGGTTTACTGAAACCCTGTTTCAGGAGTTGTGGTCTCGGGGATCGAGAGTTTGTAGGGTGCTTGGTGGTGAACACGATAAACAGGCACCAGTTGGATGGAGTGCTCGATGTCGCGCATCGGTGGGATGCCGACGTACGAGAACGACAATGAAAAAACGTCGTGGTACTCTCGAATGAGGTCACGAACTACAGGCTCCAGATCGGCCATAGAGCGTGCGAGTTCCTCAGCATCAGCGTCAGCGTGCAACGGCGGGGTGGACTCGACGGACGACGAACGACTTAGTAGAGATGGGAGTCATGGAGATAGAGGGAGGACATGGCTCCAGAGAGATGAGCTCGGCGTCGGGACAAGGTGGATCATAGTGCAAGAGATCCGTAACGTTCATCGTAAAGATTGTGACGTCGTCCTGTCGGATGAAGTGAGCGAACTGCCGAGGCGAGGTGACGATGATAGTAGGAGATGGTCTAGGCACAAAGGGCTCCGGGGGAAGAGGGTGGGGGCGTGGTGTCCTGGTGGTACCTATTAAAGGTACGCGATACGTCTGTCCACACTTCGTTTTGAGAACGAGAGTGTTGGTCGCCCAATTGGCCTCGGTGCTTCGGAACCAAGGAGACCACTGAGTATTGAGAATGAAATTGTACCCCGTCTCCATCACATCGAAATGTGCGGAGGAGCGGTGGCGACAAGACGCCGGGGGACGATCAGTCGGCTCGATAGTGAGGAAGAAAGGGAGGTCGGTGACTGTCTGATCGAAGAAGCGTTGGCTCTTATCATCCCCTAGGGTGACAGAGATGGGAGTTGGAGACCCTATCGTGGGCAAGCGAGCTTCTTTCACCACACGTGGGTGAATGAAGTCGCCCCGAGAGCCGGAATCCCACAACGTTGAGTACACCTTCGCGGAGGTCCCCAATCATATTGGAATGATCGGGAGGGTGTGATCAGGGTCCGAGAGGATGGTGACTATGTTACCGCGCGTTCATTGAACGTGCGTTTCACATTCAGCCTTTGAACGCGGTGAACGCGCATTCAGTGAACGGCGGTAAATGCATTTGACGCGTTTGTGCAGGGGGCTGTGC